CTGCGACTTCCCCTGCTTGTACTTGCTCACTCTCTCTTTCCTGACAAATAAATAAAATCTTACAAAAATAATAAAAGATGACACAGATAAATGAAAATATATGCCATATTTATAAATTTGAAGACTCCACATCAGTTTTACCCAAAAGAACCCATAAATCCATGGCAATCCCAATCAAGGCCCTAATAGAGGTTTGCAGTAATCTTGAAAAGCTGATTCTAAAATTCACAGGGAAGGGCAAAGTATCCATCATAACTTACATGTTTTTGAGGGGGAATTAGGAGGAGTATTTATTTTGCCAGCGATCAAGATTCAATTTTTATTATGAAATTATAGTAATTAAGATAACGTAGGAGTGTTAAAGTGATAAATGTTCAGACCAATAGAAGACAATAGAGAGCCCAGGAAAAGAAACAAACATATAAGGAAAACTTGTTACATGAAAATGACAACAATGAAAATCATAGGGCAAAGTATGGAAAAATAACTTCCCATATAAAAATTAGATCCTTACCTTAGAACACATCCAAAAAATGAATTCTAGGTAGATGAGTGTTCTAACTGTGAAAAACAGAACTTTAAAACTTTTAGAAGAAAACTAAGGTGTATATCTTGAAGTAGGGATGAATTTTTTTTTTTTTGGAGATTTTATTTTTATTTTATTTTATTTTAGAGAGCGAGCAAGTGGGGGTGTGGGGCAGGACCAGAGGGAGAGGGAGAAAGCCAAGCAGGCTCCATGCCCAGCACAGAGCCTGATGTAGGACTGGATCTCACGACCCTGAGATCATAACGTGAGCCGAAATCAAGAGTTGGACACTTAACCGACTGAGCTAGCCAGGTGCCCCAAGATGGATATCTTAAATAAGAGTTTTTAAATGGATGGATGGATTTAACTAAGTACACATTTAAATTCTGCTCAAAAAAGATGCCATAAGCAAATTTAAAGGACAGACCACAGCCAGGGACATCAGGGGACTCTTTTGAAGATTTCTGGAAATCAGTCTGTGCACCCTTCCCCTCTGGTGTTCTCGTCCCATAAATTTGAGCTGTGCTGGTCTCCTGGGTGCCAGACTCTTTCTCCTCGACCTGGACTGCTGGCTTCTCTTTGGGTCCCACCTCCCTGTACTTGGGAGTTGGAAACCCACCCCAGGCAGTAAGCTGGGCAGTCACAGAATGCCCTGTGTTTCATTTCTGCCTCTCGGGAATCATCACCTTGCAGACCTTTCTCCAGTATTTTACCTATTTTGTCTGGCTTTCTAGTGTTTAACTAGGGGGTGGGGAGAGTAAATCTGGTCTGTTATTCTGCCCTGGTCTGGAATGTAAGTAATCCCACCATCCTTTTTATAAAGTTTAAAAATAAGGAAAACAATTACATATATATACACACTTACACATATAATAAGGAGAAAGGGAATAGTATAAAAAACATACCTAGGGAATCTAAACATCAAATTTGAGAGGACAGTTACTTGGAGAGGTAGGAGAAGGCTACTCTGAAGTTAATAAGCAGTAATGTTGGAATTTTTGAATTTTTGAAGCTTAATGGTAGGCACATGGATGTTTATCATGTTAATCTGTGTACTTCTTGTGTGTGTAAAGTATAAGAAATGCAAAGGTATACAAAAGGGAGAATTAAGTAAAGAATATTAGTTAAAGATGGGGCACCTGGTTGGCTCAGTTGGTTGGGTGGCTAAGCGTCTGACTCTTAGTTTCGGCTGAGGTCATGATCTTGGGGTTGTGGGATCGAGCCCCATGTTGGGCTCCTCAGTCAGCGCCGAGTCTGCTTGAGATGCTCTCCCTCCTCCTCTGTCCCTCCCCCTGTTCGCTGTCTCTCTCTCTTTCTCAAATAAGACCTTGGGGTGCCTGGGCTCAGTCAGTTAAGCGTCTGTCTTCGGCTCAGGTCATGATCTCAGGGTCCTGGGATGGAACCCCCATCAAGCTTCCTGCTCAGCAGGGAGTCTGCTTCTCCCTCTGCCCCTCCCCTGCTTGTTTTCTCACATTCTCTCAAGGGAATAAGTAAAATCTTTGGAAAAAAAAAAGGATATTAGTTAAAGAGTGGCCTAGGAAGATAAAGAGGTGTGAAATAGAGTAATTCGTGTGTCTGAAATCCACCTCAGCCAGAAGGCACTATTTTGTGGGTGAGGACAAAATGGTAGCCAGCACAGCTGGTGCACCTCCTTCCCTCATCAGCTGGATCTCCAGAAGACCTGTGATTTCCCTGCTGGTGCTTTCCTTCTGGTACTTTCTTTGATGAAACCCTTCAAAACCTCAGCTTCCACCAGCACTGCAGATACTTCTCCCGTGCCTTGTTGAGTCATCTGTCCACCACTCGCAAGTCACCCCCCGTCACTGGGGAAGACTTGAGCTCTTGGGTTCTTGTCACACTTTCTGTGACCCACACAGATGGTCTCTTGGACTTCAGCCTCTCTGTTTCTTGCGCTGCTTTCCTCAGTGAGCGTCTCTTGCTGGGAGCTTCACAGTGGTCCTCTGACTGATTTCCCTTCATCATCATCATCCCCCTCCCCATCGCCTGTTCTTAACACAATAGCCAGTGGACTGTCCTCTTAATACATGGAATCATGTCATTCCTCTGCTCCGAATCTCTCGTGACCCCTTCTTGGTCAGAGGAAATCCCAAACTGCCCTTACTGCCTTCTACTCACTATACACTATCATAGCCGGCTCCTGTTACCCATCGCCTGCTGCTGTCCCTCAGTCCCCCCACCCCCCACTTCACACAGGGCTCCTCAATGCTCCTGGAACCTCTACCCGGCATGTTTCTGCTGTAGCCGCCTGCATGGCATATCTTCAGCTCCTGTGGGGCCTTCTCCTCAACTGTCACCTTCTTCTCGAGCCCGTCCCTGACTGCTTTATTTAAAACTGTACTCCTGTCCCCACAGAGCTTTTCATCTCTTCCTCTGCTTTCTTTCTTTCTCACTACCATGAATCCCCTTCCAGGATGCTATACAGTTTATTTCTTTACTTTGTTTATTGTCTGTCTCCCTCCACTGGTATGTAATTTCCACGAGAACAGGGATTTTTGTATTTTGTTTATTGCTATAAGGCAAGGGTCTAGAAAAAGTGCCTGGCACAGAGAAGATGCCATTAGTGGCTTTGGGGATCCCTGCCCCCCCATCTCTTGGGGATGTAAGGAGTCGGGAAGGGTGCATAGTCCCTGATGTCATGTGCTTATATGGACACTCATGACAATGGCCATCATGTGGACAGGGCTTTGAGCCTCAGCCAGGAAGAGGGCTGCAGAGATGTCCCGAGATCCCAGCTGTGTGACTCTCTGTGATTGAGAGGGTCTCTCTGTGATGTCCCTGCTTCTCCTGGGGCTAGATATCATTTGGTTGCTTGCATGCCATGAGCGGGCACAGCAGCTCTCCAAGGCAGTCTGAGGCTCCATCTGCCACGGTGCTCCCTGCAGCCATCCTTCCTGCGCTCTTGTCTTTCTGGGGCTCAGTCCACCTCTCTGGTCCCACACCTCTGCCTGGAAGTTCTGTTGCCTCCCCAGGGCTCAACATCGGATCAGAGAATGAGGACTTCTCTCTCTGGGACCCACTGACATCTTTTCAATGTTTTCAATGCTTTTTTCCTACTTCTTTCAATCTCTTGTTTTCCCTCTCCTCCCTCAGGCTGGAGATCTTTCTCCTAGTATGACGAGGAAGGCAATCTTGCTTTGGCTCATTTCTTGTTTAAGTTGTGAATCCTGTCTATTTTGCTAAGGGCCTGGGCTTTTGAAATCAAAAAGTAGGAAGACAGACCCTTTCTTTCTGCATTTGGCACTCACATGCTTTGCTGGGATGCTTTCATGGGAAGAAGGGCCAAGGGGCATGGGGGAGGGAAAGGCTTGGGCAGGGGAGATTATGAAATCTTTTAATATAGTAAATATTTTAAAAGTCACACCGTGTGATACTGATAATGACAACAGCAACACTGTTGTAGTTCACATTGTATACACTAGTGTATGCCGAGTCTCCTAGCTGCTCTCTGCAATGCACTGCCATTGATCAGCATAGCAAGTCTACGTGTATTTATTACCATGCTTATTTTCCATAAAAGCAAATTGAAGTCTAGTGAGGGAAAGGGAGTTCCTCAGGTCCCACATTTTGCAAATGACGGGCCTGGGCTTTGGAAGCAAATCTGCTGTGCTGAAGGCTAACCACTATGCCTCCTGGCCCCCTGGCAACACCCCAGAGCCCCAGGACCCTGGGCCACGGAGCTGGGGATCAGTTGATTCTTGCACACTCCTGGTGCTCATCCAGCAGAGTGATGCTGGCCTTCTTCTTCCTTCACTGGCCTGCCAGGTGGGTCTCTCCATGGTGTCCCCATTGTCAGCCTCTTTCTGCTGGCTTCCCTCTCTGCTGCCAGTTCAGCTTCAGGCCCATCTCATCTCCTTGGAGAGGTCCAATCTCCCTCCCCTCTTCTCTCCTCCTCCCCTCCTCTTGCCTCTCCCCTGCCTCCCTCCTTCCCTCACCTCCCTTCTTTCCTTCCCTCTCCCCGCTCCCCAATCCCCACCATCCCTCCTCCTTCCCTTTCTACCTTGGTTTGGCTTTACAAATAAAATATAAATTTAGCTAAGAGCTCATACCACAAAAAGGGAAGAAATGATATGTATAAGCGGCAACAGAATTTACAAGTAAACACCCTGCCATTCAGTCCCTGGGCTTTGTGGGGAGGATACTAAGGATCTTCTGGTCTCCCCTCTTGGGGCCTCGAGGCTGCCCTTGACCACTGAGCAAGGCTGAGGAGAGACCTGCTAGGCTCTTCCCCGAAACTGCAGCACATTTTCCAACAAGCAGAAGGCCTGTGGCTTCAGGAGGCCCTCCCAGCTCTGGTCTATCTCTGTGGTCAAGGACTGGGACTTTGGATAAATAAGCTAACACTAAAAACTTGGGTATCCGATGCTGCTATCTTAGTGGGAGCCTTCATGTTGATGGCAGTGGGGAGGGAAGGAGGAGACTTGGGCAGCTGACAGAGGGGGCCATGTCTCTGCAGGTGAGGACTCCATCAGCACCCTGGGCCTGATCCTTGGCGTGGGACTCTCGCTGCTGCTTGTGTCCGTCCTAGGCTACAGCCTGGCCAAGTGGTACCAGCACGGGTACTGCTGGGAGGGTGAGTGAGTGCCAGACCCCGCCAGCCCAGCCCTGGCCTGCCCCTCCTCTCCTGTAGCAGTGGGCACGGCTGGGTGGGGCTGCACACCCTTCAGCATGGTATCATGCAAAAATATTTCCTGTGGTGACTGCAGTGGTTGAAGACTTGAGTGGGGGTGGCAGAACACTCGAATGGCTGGGGGTGGGGTACTGGGCCTTGACTGAGGGAGTGAGGCCTCTGCCTGCCCAGCCGGAGGCTGTCTCTCTCTTCCCTCAGAGCCCACCAAAGTCCATCCCCAAGGCCTGCATGGGCCTCGATGCCAGGCTGGACAGGGGGCCCCCACTCTGGCTCCTTGTGCATCTCTCCCCCTGCCTGTGGGTCTTGGGGCCCTTTCCCAAGCTTGCTTCAGCTTCCACTTCCCTGGGAGTCTCCCCGAATTTGCTACTGCCCTCCCAGCTCTGAGCCATATCGGCATTTCCCATGGGACCTGGGAGAGCTGACAGGGCGTGCTGGGACCCCCTGAGGCAGAAGGCATTTCTCGACCTGCAGCTGATTTCCATGTCTTCCATGAATGTTTGCTGAGCACCTACTATATGCCAGTGTACTTTGCCTAATAGGATTTTCTTTAAAATTCCAAGTAAGGTTAGAATTCTTAGTTTTTTATAGATGGAGTAGGAAGGCTAAAGTCACAGGGTTCAAGAGTGGTATAGTCTGGATTCAAGCCCAGGTATGCTTCTTTTGGGCTCTACACTAGGACTGCCTCTTTCCCAGGGCAATCAGGGCAAATCATCCTTTAAACATCCCTTAAAGGCAGGGGGCAGGGGAGATGCCTAGCCACAGGATCTGCCCCGCAAAGCTGGTAGTTCTTCTGGGAAGTTGGGTGTGCAGCAGGCAGAAGCCAATGAAGGAGCTTGGGACCCTCCCACAGCATCCTGAGGTCCAACCCAGCCACCTTGCTCCTCCCAGATCAGGTGAGGGAGCACCAGATATTCCCAGAAACGTGATGGACTGGTCTCCCTGGAGGTACTAACCCTCTCTTTTCTGATTGTCTTTCTAGGGCCTAATTTCGTCTTCAACTTGTACCAGATTCGGTGAGTAGATTCAGAGCAGATCTGGGTGGTGTTAGGTATGGAGCCCAAATGCCCTGTTTCTCTTCCTTGTCTCCTCCCCATGCTCCTAAGCAAACAAGAGAAAAGGAAGGAGCTGGGGTCTATTTAGAAAGTACCATGAATAAAAACTTGAGCATGGCCAGGATTGTGGGAAACCCTGCTGATGGTGACCTCTTAACATTTGCCCCCAGGCAGAGACCAGCCATACCTTTGTCAGCTACTCATAGTTTTCTCAGGAAGAATCTATTGTAGCAGGTATCGTGGTATTAGTTTCTAGGGGGTATGATGAACATAGTCTCTGTCCTTAAGCATTTCACTGTCTGTGGTGGACACAGACTTGACTACAAATGATATCATCTCGGGCACAATGTAGTGTCAGAAGAGAAGAGCAAGTGGAGACCATCAGGGACTTAGGGAGCGGGGGTCAGAAAGTGCTCCTGCAGCCCCCTTATCCGCTCACTGCCCCCGGGTGGGCCTGCTCTTCATCTGGACCTGGGACGTGGGCCAGCTCCTGTTCTGGAAGATGGGTTGGTTGAGGAGCCATGGCCAATAAGTTCTTCCCATGCTCTGGCCTAGGGAGTTGGGCTCCCAAGGAGAGTCCAGGTTCTCAGCCCCCCAAGACTTGATTGGATCATCTTTCTCAGGAACCTGAAGGAGCTGGAGGGGGGTCCACCCTTCACCATCAGTGGCCATGTCAGCAGTTTGGATGGTGGCTACATGAAGTTCTCTGACAGGCTAGTCTGATGGGGGAGTGTCAGGCTCTGGAGCCCGGGAGAGGTGAGTGGTAGATTCCTGAGTAAATCTGATCCCCTGGTAAGGTCTTTGGATGGCACAGGTGCCCAAGCCTAACACCAGGGACTATTTGGAACCCAAGAGATGATTCGCTTCATCTCCTCCCCGCGCCCCCCGCCCCCCACTTCTCAGGAGTGGGTCCACGGGAGATGATCTCAGGTGCCAAGGCCCAGGGTCATGCTGTCCTCACCACCTGCTGGCAGCAGACTGCTCCTTTCCACCTGGGCACCCAGTCCACGTCCTGCCTTTCTTTCCTGGGGACGTTCTATTTCTAATCAGGTAGCAGCTTTTAGAGTCAAGCTTCTATCTCAACCCTTTGCTGTGAATCGAAGGTTCTAGATGGCCACTCTCTCCAAGAAGCATCACTCCAGAGTGTCATTTTTGAACAGAAGGCCGAGGAGCCATCCTTCCTTCATGGTTAGCTGACCCCTGGGCCACACCTTCCTTCCCCTTACTCCACCCCCCCACCCCGCCTTCAAGCCCATCCCCTCTCTGCATGGCAGCTGCTTTTTCCCAGCCACTTTCTCCCTCCAGAATCCCTCATGGACCCCCAGTTTCTCTCCGAGCTTCTCTTCTGGCCTGAGAGAAGCCTCACCAGATGCAGTGGTTTAGAGGAATCCTTTCCAGGCCTCATCTCTTAGTTGTTCTCCTTTTGATTTTTCTGCAGGAGGAGCTCCTGGGGAGGCACCTGCCCCTCATGGGCTCCCTGGGCTGCCTTCAACCTCTGGGGTCTTGTGGATGATGAGGAGTCACTCCAGGTGCACCACAGGCCTGCAGCAGGAGGACCTCCAGGAGGTTCTCTGGACAGAGTCTGGTAGGGTAGCACTGGCTTTCTCCTACAAACAAAAAGACAGGCATTTGCCCAGGAGTAGAGACTGGTTCCCAGGAGCCCCCTGAGCCTGGGGAGGGGTTCCAGGTGTCCTGGAAAACAAAGGCCTCCCAGCTCAGTTCAGTGTGTTCAAGGCCTGCAGCCCCACAGGGGAGCTCTCCATGGGACATCCCCAGGCACTTCCCCTCGAAGGGCGGACTCCAGAGGCCGGAAAACCAGTCATATCTTTAATAGGCAAAGTCATGTGGGAGTGGAGGTGATTCCAGATGCTGTTTTTAACCTTCCTACCAGAAGCCAACTTCCCCTAAGAGCTGAAGACTGATCTTGGCCTTTGCCCTGCCCTGTCCCACTCTGTTGCTTTGTTCTGGTGCTTTCAACCTCCCCACACTTCTCTCTACCACTTGGCTTTGTTTTCCCTGACGCTGACCAGCCTCAGTGCCTCCCAAACCATTTGGAGGTCAGTGCTTAAAACAGTCTAGAAGTACGATCTTATTTTGTAGGCTTCCGTGATGGGTGGGCAGGGGTTGGGGGGCAGAGAGCTCAGTCTCCCTGTGTTCTGCATTTCCTGTGCCAGGCTTGCCCTGTGTTGGGGAGGGAAGATTAGAAATGGTGGGAGTCAGGGAGGGACCCATGCCAGGCTAAAAAAAAAAACCAACTAGCTAATGCACAAGGGAAATCATGAACCACATGTAAGTTGGCGGACAGCAGCACTCTTTGCCTTGTGAGTCATTGTTTTTTCCTCTGATCTGCCTTGCTGGACCTGAGGTGGTATCCACACCCATGTTGTCTTAGTAGGCCCTTAATGCAGTGTTGTTCCATCCAGAGAGACTGCGCTCCCAGGGCAGCTGTGGATGGAGCAGGGCCTGACAGGGGCCCAGCCCCTGCTGAAACCTGTAGTTAGAACTACCTGCCCATGTCCAGCACCAAGGCCAAGAAGATGCAGGAGCCGAGGACAGTGATGGGTGGGGATGAGAGAAGTCTTAGTATTTGTCTTCCTATCCTCACTTCCCCAGAGCCTGGTTTCTTTCTTGCTTTGGGTTCTAGCCAGTTGTGAAGAAAGGAAAGGGTAGGGGGAAGGGAGGGAGGAAGGGGGGAAGGAGAGGGGCCTTACCAGCCCCTACCCCCTCACTTCCTGCCAGGATCTGGGGGGCCATTCTCCCAGCATAGCCAGGCTCTGACTTAATAAACCGAATCTCTAAATTTGGAGATCTTCATCTGGGCCCCAGTATTTCTATCCCTGAGTTGGTGAGTGTGGGGCAGAGCCCCCCATAGCTTCGGATCCCTCTCTCTCTTGAAGGCTTTATTGGGAGAGCAGCGAGGAAGGGGGATGGGGTGACTTTGACATCCTTCTTTGGATTTCAGTGCTGAGGGCTGGGCCCCATTCCTTAATCCATGGGATGTCCAGCCTCAGCGAAACTCTCCATGATGCCCCTTCCAGTGTGGATCCTGGGGCTGCAGCCCATAGGGGGCCATTCTGGCTCCCTGAGTATGCTCAGGACTCTGAGACCTTGGGAAAACTTGAAAGGATGGGGCCCAAGGCCCAGATGGTCCCGCCCCAGGTTTGGTGGCTTCAGGTAGGGACACAGGGACAGCTGCTGAGGGCTGGGAGAATGGAGGGTATTTCCCATCCTTGGGAGCGGAACCGAGACTGGGCTACTTCCTCTTTCAGGGTCCTCTGACGTGTTCCCTGTCCCCTGCACCTCCTTCTTGTTTTCCTGACTTCCGCACTCAGTCCTGCTGGTGAACGCAGCATTGCCCTTCACCCCAGGCCTCTCCCGAGGATACGTGTTTTCATTGAGAGCTTCAGAGATGATTAGGGAGCAGGTGCCTGGAGATCTGGCTGCGGGTCTGGTTGGGCTGGGTGGTAGGACCCATGGCCATGCCAGCACCTTCCCTAGACCCACCCTCCCCTCTTAGCTGTTCTTTGCCCTGGCCCCAAGAGTCAGGAGGCAGTCTGGAGAGCCAGCACTTCTCCGGGCTGCTCACTCCCAGTCCCTGTGCTACCCTGTTCCTGTTTAGTGTCTTTGCCAGGGCTTCCCAGAATGCCACCTCCCTCCTTGCTGACTCCTCCCAAGCCACAGCTAATCTCCATGGTTGGCTCAAGTGTCCTCTTCCCTGTGGCTTTCCTCAGGACTCCAGACTTGTTACCACTCATTTGATCCTGATAGCAAGTGGCCATGATTCTCCCATTTGCGCTGTACCCCCCTGCCAGGGTGAGCGCTCTGTGGGCAGGGTTATGGCCCATAGTCTTCAGTAACCGCTAAAAGGGGGCCCGTAGGAGGTACTCAGTAAAGGCCTGCCGAGTGGAGTAGAATCTGCACTGTGGTGACGGAAGGCTGCCTGGTCCTGGAGAAAGATGCCCTGGTGACCTGAGAAGGAGCAGGAACTGCTTGCACAACACACAGTCTACAGAGAGCAAATTACTTTCGTGTGCGTTACTGTGGCTTGAACCTTGTGGCAAACTTGTGACGTGGGCACCGTCGCCGGCTGCATATTGCATCTGGCGAGATGGAGGCTCAGAGAGGTAGCACGCTTTGCTTAAGGCTGCACAGCCACTGAAAGCACTGAGGCCTGAGGAGAGAGTGAGGCCTCGCAGATGCAGCCTGACCACAGGCTTAGTGGGATGAGGATGGAAGCCTGGAGAATACAGTCTGGTCTGGACCTGCCCTGCTGTGCTCTGGGGCCATGGGCTAGTCATTCACTACCATGGGCATATATTTTAGCATCTGGAGATTGAGGGATTAGATTACCTGTCCAAGGCTCCTCTCTTTACCTGAAGGAGAAAAAGGACCTTATCTGTTTCTGTGCTTTTTCTTTTTTTAAAGACTTTATTTATTTGAGAGAGGGAGAGAAAGAGAGTGAGAGAGAAACACAATCAGGGTGAGGGGCAGAGGGAGAGGGAAAAGCAGACTCCCCTCTGAGCAGAAAGCCCAACAAGGGACTTGATCCCAGGACCCTGAGATCATGACCTGAGCTGCAGGCAGATGCTTAACCAGCTGAGCCACCCAGGCACCCCTGTACCTTTTTTTTAATCTCTGTATTCTCAGTGTCTAGCATAGGACCTGGCATATAGTAGGTGTTCACTGAACAAAAGATACAAGTACAAAGTATAGTGATAACTTTCTCGCTTAGGAGTTGACAGGTGACAACTATAGTTCCTTTAGACTCTGATGGTCTAGGATCCAAATTATTCCTTAGCCTTTCTTTGACTTTGGATAAATCCAGCCAGCATCTAAGACCAGACCGTTCCCAACTAAACCCTTCTTTACCAGCAAACTGACGCTTGCTGAACACGTACTAGAGTGCAAGGCAGGGGCTCTGTCTGCAGGCTCCCTTATTCTCACAGGGAGGAGACAAGAGGATCAGGGTCCAGTGAAACGATGTGCTGAAGGCCAGGCAAGAATGGGTTTTCTTTAAAATGGTTTGTCAGCCCCTTACAGCCTCTGTCCAAGTTCGCAGCTTCCCTGAGCTTCCTGGCCCCCAAGGAAGCAGGCCCCTCCCGCTGGCCTCTAATCTCTTTTCCGGGTCCCCTGGTGTGGTGAGAACAGCCCTGTCCTCAGCTCTGGGCTTCTTGCTGCTCCATTTCTTATTCTTCCTTTTATTATTTTTTTTAATACCCCTTTGGTCAAATTCTGCCCCTTCTTTATGCCAGCTCAATTTTCACTTCCCCAGGGTGACTTCCTTAAGACTGGTGGATCTTGTTGTCTTCTCACTTTTTTTTTTTTAAGATTTTATTGGTTTATTTGAGAGAGAGAGAGAGGGAGGCCGAGCACAAGCAGGGGGAGGGGCAGGGGGAGAGGGAGAAGTAGACTCCTGGCTAAGCAGGGAGCCCAACGTGGGGCTTAGTCTTAGGATCCCGAGACCATGACCTGCTGAGGGCAGACACCTGACAGACTGAGCCCCCAGGGGCCCCATTGTCTTCTCACTTTTAATTACAAATACTCTCTGGCTTTTGTAACTGAATTATTGAGTATTCCCTTGTATTCATTTGTTCATGCAGCTTCTGTAATATGCCAGGAGCTGCTAGGCACTGTGGAGGCATCCAGTCTTTCTTGAGATTAACTGTGCACCCTCCTGTTTGATGGGTACTTTCTGCCGGCAAAATTCAGGTCTTCTACCTTTTCTGAGTTCTCTATGGTAGCTTATATGGTTCTGGCCATAGCCAGGAATGACTCAGGAGATTATGTTGTATATTTCTCAGTCTCTTCAGGGAACCTTGGGCTTTACTTTATCCCTGGTCTAGTCTTAGGTGCTCTGAAAACCAAAGCTTCTGATTTTCTCTGCCCATCCTCAATCATGTGCAACACTGCAGCCGTCATCAGATGCAGATCTGGACACAGAGCACCCCACGGTGACTTTTTCTGTCTAATGGCTACCTGAAGAAATGGTCAGACCCAGGAAGAGGCTGGGCTGGTCAGGAAGGGCTGTGCTCCCCTGTGGTAATGATCTTGTCTCATGCCAGTGGCCATGCAGGGGCCAGAGTCTGGAGTGTCCTCTCTCTGCCCCAGGAGTCTAAGAACCCCAAAGTGGGAGCACATAGGCGTATCACTACTATATTTAAAAAATTGCTTAGTGATCAAAAGCTGTCGAGAAGCAGTGAGATTTAAGCAGATCTGGTACAAAACAGGAAGCCAGTGGCCTGGTGAATTCTCACATTTGGAGACCAGAAGTGAAAATGTTTTGTCTGCCCAGAGTAGCAACAGGCCAACAAAACAACAGGTGGGGCTGCGCTGGAGACCATGGCCTTGGTGGGGTCCCTGTCTCCTGGATTTTTACCTGCAGGGCTATGGGGGTTTTCTTCCCCTCCCCCAAAGCCTCAGGATAAGGTTTTTTTATATATAAGCAGGGAGCCATTAGAAAGGAGATGAGGGGGGTATATACAGAGCCTCACGTGCTGTGGTAGCCCTGGTAGCTGGGCGGGGGGGGGGGGGCAGGTGCCTTGTTTGCGTAAGGCTGCTGTCGGACTTGAGGACACCAAGTTCCCTTCCAGCTGTGAGGCTGTCGCAGAGCGTGGGTGACTTCAGTTCCAAAGGGCTGAAGGGGGCAGGGGAGGAGGTAGTGGAGTCACCTGTGCATGTATGTGTGCGTGTGTGTACACTGCAGAGTCGTAACCCATGGAG